CCTGCTCCTCCCATGATCCCTTCCTTATCATTTCTCTTGGTTTATTAAAATCAGCCTTTCAAAAATCCATGGATCGTGTTCGACTTCTGTTAAAACCAAGATTTGAGATAGTAGATCTCCTAGTCCCCTTCTTAACCTTTTGGAAGAGAAAATTATCACTAACACAAATCAAGAATTTATCTGACATCTTGTGTTTGGCAGAATTAGTCTTCCAACAGATGTCTGGGTAGTTGAAATGTCTGATCACAACCACTTCATGATTTTTGAGGATTGTTATCTAGTTTAATAAACTGATTTGGTGAATTATAGTAGCCTCATAGCAAGATATCACTTGGGTTGCCCCTTTATCTTACCTCAGATGTTTTCAACAGTCATGCTACCATCAGTTCAGTGGGTTTTTATACAGGTAAGCTCATTCCTGATATAAAACACTACACCACTCCCTCTCTTGTATTGCCTGCTCCTCTGAAATAATGTGTACCCCTCAAGCCCACTATTGCACTGCTGAGATTGATCGCACCATGTTTCAGTAAACCCCATTATATTATACTTGCCTTTACATCCATCTCATTTTGCTTGTTTCTCATACTTTGTTAGAGACATTTAAGATAATAGACTAGACTCTCTGTGTTCAGTTTCCCTTTTTTCTTTATCTCTGTATCTCCATTGTTACTTTGATAAACTAGTGCCGCTGTATTTAATCCAATATTTCCCAATTCATTACTTACCAATGGTCTTAACACTCATGCTCCTTTGTGTTCCAGTTCAAAGTCCTCCTGACCAAGTTAGCCAGCTGTTGTCCAAAGATTTACTTTCCCTCCTTGGTGAGATGAATTGCATCTGTGCAAAGCAGCCTCTTCCTTGAAGATTGTACCATTGTTGAAAAACTCAAACCTCTGTTGCATGCACTATCTTGACAGCAAGTTCACTTGAAAAGATTTCCTTTCTTTTGTCAGACTTTTATTTTCAATAGTAAATACTGATGAGAACATCACCTGGGCCCCAGGATTCTTCATCCTCTTCCTAAAGCCACGAAATCACTGCGGATATACTGGAGATCTTGCCATGCAGTACCATTTGTGCCTATGTAGATAAGAAGGAAAGGTCTGTGACTGGCAGATCCAATGTCTAATCTGTCTTTCTACCCACCTTGATTTTGAGCACCTGGGAGAAAACACACATGTGGAGATTAAATATCTTTTTGATCACAGATCTTCATTTTCTTTTTGATGATTGGTGATGGATCATTTCTATTAGCATCAGGTGGCAGAACTTCAACTATGGCTTGTTCGGTTGGTTTGTTTATTTGATTTTGTGGCTCATTCATGTTTATAGCTGTTTCAGAGGCTGGAACTGGTAGCCAATGACTAGGAGAATGGTTTATTTTGTGACCATTTCGCTTCTGATGGTAACATGTTCCCAACTGCCTTCATTTTCATCCTGCATAAGCTTCCCATTGCTCTCCTGCTTGTGGCAAGTGATGGCATCCACACTATTATTCAAGATGTATTCATTGACATATGAGGTGTAAGGTTGATGCTCTGGCCTCCAGTTCACCAAACTTTGCTTTCAGTATTTTCACCAGCTTGCACTTTACACAGATGAAGTTTGCTTTGTCTTCTGGGAGAAGGGCAGACATGACATATCTATTGAAGATAATGGCCAGAACCCCATCTATGGCCACAATGTCCTTTATGTGATAGAGGAATGGAAAAAAAAAAAAGCAAACAGACTTTCTATGTTTTGGGGGCACTGGTTTGAGCTGGTCAAATGAAGTCCAACTCCTCTGCTGCTTGTGGTGACCACATCTCTCTTCCCCAAATGTACCATGATACCCAGCATTTCCTTACCCATTCGCCATCCTTTCAGTCCCCCCATTCATCAGCTGCAATGGAGAGTAGAAGGGAGGTACAGCCAGCGTACCGTGAGCAGTTCAGAAGGTTTGGCCTGAAACAACCCAGGCTGTGTTGAGCTAAAAGTAACTACTTCTTGGTTAGTTGTCAGAGTGAATTAACTGGGTTAGGATGTTCACAAAATAGATAATCCCTCCATCTTTGACTCAGTTAAGTGTGTGGCATGAACAAGGTCATATGCAATTATTAGACCTATCTTTTTTCATCACTGGTGCCAAGAGATGCTCATAATCTTCTCCTGGGAAAAATTTGATCTCTATATGCCTGCCATTCAAATACTAGGACTTGGGAGGCCACTGATAGCTTGCTGTTTATTCCTGGAGGCACCCTTCTCTCCTGTGTTGGGAAGGATGTTTGTGTATTGGGTAATGTAGTCACTGCATACTGATCTGTGCCTTCCATGCATGGCTAACACAGGAACATTGTAAATGAATGACAGCGAAGATTGGTAGATGGCAACAGAATTTCCATGAATACTGTGGGAACAGGTCAGTATTGCTTCAACAGTTTTTGCTTCTATACCTACTATTGCATAGTTGCACTTACTTGAGTTAAGACTACAACTAAATTAGGGAGCGGCAGGACTTTTTTTTTTCCTAATAAGCATACCCACGATAAGGCTATACCCAAGCATCTTCAAAAGACTACCTGTCCCAGCATGTTTTAGTGCCATACAATTGATCTACAGGAAATGATTGGCCCAGAATGGAATTATAATGCTTCAACATCCTGGTATGAAAAATAAACATATATGGGTATTTTCACAAGACACATAAGTCAACATTGGCATAAATGAATAAATAAATTTGGGCCAATCGCTCTCTCATCCCAATCTACTTTTTTTGTGGGCAAAAATTAGAGGAACACTATGTATGCTGTCTGGAACTCATGAATGAAAGATGGGGCTATAGTCTAATAAATTAATAAACACATCTCTTCTATCAGTATGAAACCTCCAGTTGTTCACTGATGATTTGGAGTCATGAGGAAATCAAAGGTGTAGCTGATGTCAATAAGAAAGGCAAAAGCTATGTACAGTTTAAATAGGATTTCCCTAGCTGGGTTCATGAAATGGTAGCTTAAATGCAATCCAAATATATGTCAGTGCAAACTCATGAATTTGATGCTGAAAAAATAAAATAAAACTCTGAATGGATATGGTGAAAACTTACTGAAGGTAAAGATCCAGCTGCATAAAATGCATAAAAACCAGCTCATTGGGCTGGCTGTAGCAGGTTTGGTTTAGCAAAGCAACCCTTCTCTTCTTATCCCACAGTAACATTCACATATGGAGATGCAAAGGCTCAGCAATATACAGTATTTAGGTCAACTCTAAGATTCTGAAACCAAAGTGAACCTACCAATCAGTTTCAAGTGAGTAGATAAATGGGGACTCTCACTCCGGTGAGAGGAAAAATGCTGGCGGCGCCTTGCA